AAAAAGGCTTCAACACAGCCACTATTAGAGTAATCACAGTTTTGGCGGGCTAATAAAAAATTGAGGTCGCCAAAATCTTGGTTCACAAACAGGCACTGTTTGTGTTAATGACCACCGCGAATGTCGCCGATTGGCTTATGTAATGTGGAAGCTGATTGGCTGTGGTCTTTAAATGAGTGGCCGGTTCCGAGGGTCGGTTCATCATGAATGTGCTTTCGTGAGACTGTTTTTCGCACTTCGCTGTACTCCAGCATCGACATTCAACTGTGAACCAGAAAATGGCAGAATGAAAACGGCGTCGTATCTTAATATTGGATCCACAAAACTCGGCAAAACACAGAAAGTTGAATGATGGCTCAGCAGTGGCCGATGTGTTAAATGGTCAATCTGCAGGTCAATTTGATTTTTCCAAAGCCTTTCAAACTAAGGGCCTGATCGGATGCACCAGAAACTTTTTACAGAATCTCGTCTATACGTACTTTTCTCATACAATTTGTCCCTAAACCAAGCCAGAATGGGAAATATATGTCTTTCTTCAAATATGACTGAGATGGAGTGGACGTGAAAACATGGCTTCAAAATATTCAACACATTGTGTTGAACTCAGAATCTGTTGCACCATCCCAGAATCCTGTGGATAATTTAAGAGCACATTTTTTCTGCCACTCCCGGTGCTCAAGATGATTTAGGGACAAAATGTATATGCATAAAGGATTCTAGCAGATTCTGGGAAAAGATTCTGGGACACCCGATCAGGCCCTAATCATTTATGGGTGCATGGGTAGATTCCAAAATCCTCTTTGTGGAAAAGCTATTGAACAAGAAAAAGTTGGACTCTTTGATCTATGTTGGATGCCCTCACGGATACAGATCTTTCTAAAATAAGTACTGGTAGTCCCGCTGGCACGGAAGAGCCCACTATCATAAAGTAGTATCTTTATGTAATTCAGCCACTAAATTATTTGCTTAATCCTTAGACTATTTCGGACTCTGTGCACCGCTTACGAGGAATACTAGATTATAGCACCAGTTTGTCGTCTTTTGGGCATTTACAAGCCAGAGGGGCAACCACAGGTGGCACTTATCAAACGGGTAAGGCCGAGCGGCACAGCCTGCTGACAAATTGAATGTCCCTTAATCCGACTGTCTTTCAACTTGCTTTCAACAGTGGGTATGAGGACATGTCAGGCATACAGGTGACTTGATGCAACAGTCCGAAATATTTCTCTATAGTATATTCCTGATATCAATAATTACTCGATCATATGGTTACTTCAGTGGGAAACCAAGTGGCCTGCATTGTAACAATAACTTCAACCTTGGAAACTCTCTCTTTGGTTCTTCACTGCCATTGGACAAGTTGGGTTTGCACAGAATTAGTTCTGTGACTGCAAAGAGTTGAACATTCAATTAAACCACAACAAAGTCATAGTAAGTACTACTACTCAGAGGCACAGCATGAGCTGGTCGATGTGTAAGGCCGGTGGAGGGAGACAGGAAAGTGAGTACTGGAATGCAGGCCAAGAGGAGGGTTCAGTAGCTGTGAGCACACCATGGAGGAGAGAACAGGGACAATGACCCGGTGCATGGTCGATCAGAGCACAAGAGCCATCACAAAAGAAAAGGACCGGTTGAGACCCATCACCCAAAAAGAGAGGATCAGACATCACACAAAAAAGGAATTTAGCATCATTTTATTTCCTTTCTCAGCGTGATACGATCATCGGATTCGTGATCTATCCTAAAAAATTGATAGGGCGCCACTACTAAAGATAGTGGGCATATCTGGTTTATGTTGGATACCCTCACAGATACAGATCTTTCTAAAATATCTGGTTCAGCTATTGTCACTCTCGCCTGTGAACACCATATCTCCTGCAAAACCAAGAAACTTCTTCTAAATGAATTGCAAGCACTTCCCTGTTACTTTAGCTGCTCTCGAAAAAAATTCAAACAACCATCTTCAAGTTGGGTACTAAAAACTTATGGTTGATCATCAATGACCAAGGGGAAAACACCGGTTCTCGTTTCCTGTCTTTCAAACCAAGGTTCATTGCATGAACAAAAACATTACCATTTCTCAATGATTTATCTGCATAGGATAAAGTAGAAAACGAAGGTATTCCAATTCCTTGTTCCTTTCATGCACTTTATCTGATTTTACTAGACAACACCATCAATGTTCACACCTTGCCAACCCCTTCATCCTCAACCTACCGTGACACCCACGTTCTACGTGAATTTATCGTTTTTGACACCAACGACTCTCGTGTTGACCCGGAAGACATTCCAACCAAGCTCAAGCCCAGCACACTACTTGAATGTCATTTCAAAGTCGAGCATTACTGCTTCAGGATGGAGGATTCCTTCGTCGGCAAGCTACTTTTACTCTACTCATCTCACTATCCTGATTACTCAACCAGGTCTGATTGAACAAATTGTAATTCTTTGCTCTGCGCCTCCAAAAACTCCAAGTTGTATCAACAAATCCAAACCTGTGAGGCCCCCCGCCATGTTGCCTGAGTAAATACAACTTCAGCAACACCTCAACTTTTCACTCCACAAATGCCTGTCGCCGGTCCTTCCAACGTCCCCCTGCCCAATGGTAACACTTCCTTTCCATACTATACCATAACCTCTAAACTCACTATATTTCAAGATCCGAGTCAAAAGCGAAAGGCCAGCATTGAGCTGGAAGGAAGTGATGTGAAACCGGTGAACATGGGTGAGGATAAGATAAGAACAAAGAGTCGGATTCAAATACCGAGACTTCAAAGGATGACAGTGCAAACACAGAGTCTCCTCATAGTGCCAAATAACTTTCTCTGATAACTCCACCTAGGTAACTCAGTGCCATTTTTGATTTACCGCTATGACACGACAAATGTCTAACTTTTATTTTGTCTCATACCTATGTACTTCTAAAGTCCAAATCATAACTTTGCCTGTTTGTGCCTGCCACTCGCGGCTACTTCAAATCATATGACGTTTCCGAAATAGACGATCACTTATTACATAAGTACTTGTAAACAACTGTGGAGGAGGTCGTCGCCTGAAGAAGGGAAAATATACAGCCTGATTACGATGCATTCGGGGGGAGTCGAACCCCTGCCATCCCGCTGCAACAGAGATGAGGGGGGGACGATCACCCTGATCCTCGAAGGCTATATGGATATCCCTGGTGCGGCCGAGTGTGTAGGAGATGTACATATCGGTGGACGCGGAGAATAGCTAACCCAAGTGCAGCGCACCGAGAAAATATTATTGCTATGTTGGTTTGAGGAAATAGGGATGCCGGATCGAAGTTGATCAGAGTACTATGGCGTGTGGTGAGAACGTAGGCCGTAGAATGCAGAAAACAAAAGCTCAAAAGCTGAAGCGGGAGATATGGACTGGAAGGAGGTGGCAAACAGATTTGGAGAAAGCGAGCGACGGTGCCTTGGAGAGAACACAGGAGGAGCTGCGAATTTTGCGGGATAGACCGGCGAGCCGCAGAGCGGTTTTGGATGCTGTGTGCGTACGAAAGAAGGCCGGCCGAGAACAGACACGATTCGCCATACATGAACGCGGGCGGGCGAATCGCAGGTGTGCTCGGGCGAAAGATTGTGTGCGCCAGTAGAGGGAGATACGTATATGCACCGGGATAGCACGAGGCGGGTGGGGCGAACGCCAACGGCCGAGAGCAGTAAGTAGATGAGATCAAGGAGGCGTCGCACGTAGGACGGATTTGGAACGTATCGCCGCTGTAAGACTATTGTGCGTGTGCGTGGCACACGGCGGCACGCGCCATCGGGGGAATGCTGATGGCGAAGAGTGCGTGCGGGATTGGAATTCGGAAGGTTCTTATTGGAGACGGGTGGGCGGAGGCCCGCGTGCGTGTTACTAGTACTGCGGCATTAGCGAGAAGACGAGTGGCGCGAGATGCTAGTCTGGCAATAGGCAGTGATTAGATGAGATTAAAGAGGAAGTCGCATGGAAGACGAGCCGCCGCTGTAAGACCCAAGAGCTTGTGCATGTGCGTGACAAACGACAGCACCCTAAAGGAAATGCAAATAAGACATCGTAAGAACTCACCGACGTTTGCAGTGGAATGATAGGCTGCAGGTCGCACTGTAAGCCCGCGATGAGGGTAGCGGAGCGCGGAAGAACATCAGGTTGACTCGGAGTGGCGTGCAGTATCAGCGAGATCGGGAGCAGCGCGAGATCTGAGTCGACGACGGTGGGAGAAGAGCAGTGATTGGAAGGGGAGAGGCAGGGGATTAGATGATCATGGTCGGAAGAGAAAAGAGACATATCACTGCCACTGATCGGTCCGGCTGCCTGAAGATAGGGGTCATCCGCTCATGTTTCTCTTTCTCCGCACAGTCCCGCAGAACCAAGCATGAGCAGCGAGTTTTCCTCCCTGAAGTGCGCACATTCGTATATATTTCTTTCTGTTTTTGCCTGATATAAGTTGTGTGCATATCAACACATTTGGTCCCGCGACGAGTCAGATCGCCGCCCAAATAATTATGATATCATCAAGCCCTCAGTATTTATGAAAAGTCCCGGTAGCCAATAGTCCGCGCCCGCTCTAAGTAGGATGAAATGTGGTTGTGCATGCATACGCGGAAGACGCTCGTTCGACTCGAGCCCGGGCCGTAGTGCTGCGATTTTTTTTATATTCCGTGAGGTGTGCTGGGTTATTTCGTGCGGAATATTCCCGCCGCAGAGCCGAGAATATGGCCAGGGATTCGATTGCAGAACACATGCTATCGAACGATGTCTGGATGATGGTGAAAATGGCAGAAGTTCTTTCCATCACGCGGTGAGTCCTCACCATTTCCTGCATATGTCGCCCATCTAGACATCCACGAAGGAATATCCGCTGAGCATATGCATCTTATATTCCTGGCCGCCCATCCTCTATGCCTGATTAAATTTCCCGCAGTGACCGAATCCCGTGTGTGTCATACCAAATTTAGTTTGCATCCTAACTAAGGTCCCACCTGCTGTAGAAAGGCCCAGTAGCGGAAGATCCGCACCTGCAATCTATACAAGATGTAACACCCTGTATGCAGAGGTCGCTCGTTCGATTCGGGCCTGGGCCGTTCGACGATTGTGTTCTGTTTTATTACCGCGTCCGTGAATCCTGCGCGTGGACCCAGGGAGCAGGAGTGTTAATAACCGACGTGCTTTCTCCTGCGTAAAATTGGCTGGTGAGTACATCCTTACTGAGGTCACACACTAGGATTCGGGATGCTGAATCGTGTCTCATTCACTGCTCGCTATTGCCTCTCACTCCCTAAAATCAGCATTGAACGACTACCTACTTAATACAGTCTGCAGATACTGTAGGAAGGCCCAGTAGGGGATGGACTCCGCACCACGAACCTTCATCTTCCCGCTGGATTTCACCAACGAGATGATCACCCTGATCCTCGAAGGCTTTTGTTGGAAAAACCAAATTTACCTTATCTCATACTATAATAGGCGCGGTCAGAATTATCTATCAAGGTTCATAGTCGACATCTTCAACGTCATGAACGCACGCACCGGACACTTTATTTGAACTCCGCTGACAGCCGTTACGGAAGAAATTGAGACAATCGGTGCCTCGGAAATGAATCAGTGTGAGAATGGTTAAACACGATGCAACGAAGGATGAAACGGTCTCCGATCTGGAGTCGGCGCACTTCCGAGGGGTGTAGAAGCAAGTCCGCGGCAGTCCTGGAGGGAAAGGCACCGAATCTAAAATACTTGCAGCGCGTGCACCAGGCATGTCTCCTGCTGACGTACCGTACGACCTTCGATAACGGTAATTACATTCTCGACGGATTCCGGGACCGTGGCGCAAGCACCGGAGTCTCTAAGTAGAAAACTGACGTGATGGGCTCGAATTTGTCCCATAAGTACCTGGTGGACTCCATCCGACGTCTTCTCGCGACCAAAAAGCATCTATATATAATGTCATGAGTTGCGTGAATTCTCCCAGCGGAAAGACACACCTAATGGCCCCGGTTCAGTGTTTTCAACATGGTTCGATGGCGACTATCTCCACTGAACTAGATACAGGGGCGAGACGGAGACTAAACTAATCAAGAATGGAATCAGACATCGAAATCCGAAGTGCACTAATTAGGCTGTCAAGTGATTTTTGGTTGGTAAATCAGTGCAGGATAAAACCAGGTTCAAATAGTCCGTAGAAATGTCGGAAAAAATAGTTTTTCCTTATGGGCTTTATAAAGTGAACCAATCTTATAAGGACCTTATAAGGCGGGCGCGCTCTTCCTCCGCCCATCACAGTATACAGAGGACGTGATCTCCGTGGTTTTCAAGTTTCTCCGAACACGTTGTGAGCGCTATTCTCATCAATGACGTCGGAGAGTCTGACGACATTAACCCAGTTTGCGACGTTCTCAGCCGCACTCTTCCCCCGGCCAGAATTAATCAACAGTGATTCGGTACCTTTGATTTCTCAGTCATCATTGCGGTGGGGTTTGGCCAATGATGCTCCTGCCTACTTCCCGGTCCATCCGGATGACCGGTAACCACATACGCAAGACTCGAACTTTTCCTTCCGTATATGGCGTTATTGGGCGCGCCAAAAAAACTCCCATTCATGGCGGCACCTTCGGACTTTTTTGCCCAACGTGACTGCGGCAGGCGAAGATGGTATACATCGTGTCGAACTGTCAAATAGCCCCACAGATCAATCGTCTCAGCCACAATCCCTCTTTCTTGAGCCCCACCACCAATAATCGGGCGACCAGAGGGCGGGATCTCAATTGTTGCCCCGCTGCCTCGACGTTTCTTTGTTCTTTCTTGTCGAACAGCTCCACTGCTCCACTCCTCGAACTCATCCTTTTGGTCATTCGACCATGGTCCTGTACTACAGCGTCCTCGTCAATCGCGGGAAAATCTGGAGACGACACATATAAAAGCCTGCGTGGTGGACTCCTAATCCTCACTCGAACACATTCCACTGTATTCAAGCTCTCTCACAAACAAACATGTTCTCTAAGCTCTCCGTCGTTGTCGCCTCTGTGCTCATTGTGAGCCGCATTTCATCGACGTGCCTAACGTACTAATTATTCATACGATTGTAGACCCTTGCTGCCGCCATCCCGAACACCACTCCCCCGGTGACGACCCCCACCTCCGACCAGTGCTGCAGCAGCGTGCAGTCCTCCAGCAGCAGCGCAGCCGCTGCTGTCGCGGCCCTCCTTGGCCTCAACCTCAGCGGTCTCGACGTCCCCGTCGGCTTGGGCTGCTCGCCCATCACCGTCATCGGGAACAACTGGTAGGCACTTTCTCTTGTTCTACATTTCCCGGGGGACTGACGGCACACGTATAGTGGTGGAACCGAAGTCACCTGCGACGCGCCCGAGAAGGAGTGGGGCAGCCTCATCGCCATCAACTGCATCCCCATCACCCTCTGATGGATTGTGGAGTCGGAAATCTCTGGGTTGATGTTTTGAGGTTTCTGTTGTAATTTTGTACCTTCTTTGTTTGGGCGCTGGCTCGTGTTAAATGTCGCGAATACCACGTCTTTTGTCCATTGTTTTTACCCGGGGTTGTTAGCGCGCTGTGCCTTCGCTGGGCCTTAGCTTCGATTTAACCGAAATTTGAATACGGCGAGGAATGAAAGGAAACCGGACATATTTCCACCAAAGTTCAGAAACCCTCTGGGAAAATGAGTTAACGATATTTCACGAGCGCGAAGGAGAAAAGGAATTTTGTTGAACGGGCGCCTAATTCTTAAGCACTGCAATCGGACCGCGTGAGCCCGGGCCGGACCGTGACCGCGTGACTGACGACTACTCATGTCGGTCCAGCTAGCACCCTTCTCAGGAGCTCAAGATGCCCTGGCCCCTGGATCTCTATTTTCCATCCGATTTTATCCTCAGGTCCAGCGACGGAGTCGATTTTCATGTGCACAGGGAGGTACTTACTGCTGGCATTCGTCTCCGATTTTTTCGCCAACAAATTCGCCTTTCCCCAGGCAAGCGGTGACCCAAACCAACTCGAGCGGGACGGGAAATCCATCTTGGTCCTCCCCGAGTACAATACCGTGTTGCACAAACTGCGTATCCGGCGCAGACCCTAGACCAGTACACGCTTGGAGCGGCGAACGACCTGGAAGAATTCGATGTACTTGTTGCCTTACATGAAGTGGCGCACAAGTATCAATCGTCACCGTGGAACGATTGATGGAGGCGAAGTTAGAAAAACCAGTGCTCCTCTACGCACCCACATCGCTTATTCGCTATCGCACGGCTCCGCAAACTCTCTGAGCTTGTTCGCAAGGCAGCGCTCTCCACTTTGGAAAACCCCGTATGTTCTGTGAGCCCTAGCTTTCATGAGATGGAACTCCTCCCGTGGGCGGACGCCCAAAAGCTGTACGCGTTCCACCATGCATATGGTATCAAGGCGCAGGGCTTTGCCAAGAGCTGTGCACGTTCATATATGACCCTCATTTTGACAAACCCGGTCCAACGCGACCACCTTTTAATCTGCGACGAGGCAACCAGGAATTCTTTCGTGTGGTGGGACTTACAATCGACATCCCACAGCGGCCCAGTCGCCCCAATCCTCGCGGCATTGCCCAGAATCATATTGAACGCCTGGCCTCTGCGCTGCGCATCCTTCCCACGGACCATACGGTAGAGGTGGAAACGCTTGACATCGCACCTGCAGAACGCGTGATGGTTGACGCCTGTTGCGCATGTTCGCGGCGTCGGACCGCGATCTCGCGAGCTTTGCGCGCCAGCTCGCGACAAGTATCGATTATTCACGAATGTGCCATGTTGCAATTGAAGCTGAAAAATATTTCTGATGCGCCCGAATCATCACTTGGACTTGCAGACCGCATCCGAGGTACGAGGATTAATCTCAACGCAAAAACTCGATTAAATGCACGACTTCCTGTTGGTGTGTCGTTGAATGTTGTAACTCCGCGCTATATGCTTTTCCAACCACTGAACGGCAGCGAGCGACTCGAACGTTCGACCGAGAAAATATCGATTAGGAGTAAAACATTTACATTATATTCAGTCGTCCTTTCGTTACAACTACCTCCCCATATTCACTACTGTTCGTTGATTACTGTATGGTTCCAGAGTCCCCCAAAATTGGAATATACTCTTAGCTGAAACCCACCCGTCAAACCGAGAGAGTGTTGGCGATTGCGGACAGCGACGGCGAGAAAAAGTACTCTCCGCCTCTGGACACAACGAAATCTGCGTCCATTGAATGTCATCAGCCTTTAGAATTCTAAAAAAATAGAGGGAACTTGCCGGTGGTCAGGGTGAACGAGCGCGCGGGCTTCGTAGGGTCGAGGCCGTTCACGACGCGTGGGCCGCCCATGTTTGCGCCTAGAATGCGGTTAGATGGATTTGGTTGCAATACTACACAGGCACAGGCATACCGATGATGGGATCGAACCCAACATTCCCGTGGACGAAGCTATCCAAGGCGCATTAGATTGAGCGAGAAAAGGAGAACAGCCCTCTCTCTCACTCTGTGTTATCCGCCCACAGCTGTTGCAAAAACTGGAAGCCATCGCCTATATTCGACTGGTAGGAGACTGGATAATGGCATAAGCATCTAATAAGCATAGATATCGAAATATGCATAACGAACCAAAGGCGAGCCCGCGTTCAATTCGGGTTTTGTTGGTTGATGCCTCAACAGTCGAAACTATGTAAGCGGGGGAAAAATCAGTTCACCCCAGTTGCGATCTCTGTTCAGTGGGAAAACACTAACCCTCAGGCCCATACGGAATCCCTCCACGCACAATGTGATGGTTGCTCGTCTGGCTCTCCGGAAGCCCCAGATCCGCGCGCGGCCGCGTCTTCCGGATGTGCGCGGAGAATGGGCATCTTCGAAAAGTAAGCTATGTTGAAACTCAAGCTGTCACGTATCATTTACTTGGTCTCGTCCGTCGAGTTCGCAACAGTCTGTCCCGGCAGCGCATATGTAAAGTTGTTGTTACGGTTCGGATCTGCTCCAAGCGCGGGGTTATCGACCAATGGCGCCAGGAAGACAGGTGCGCCCTAAAACAGAATCAGTAAATCGTTCTGGTTAAATTAATTCGGTCAAATAAGAC